TCTTCTCTGTCACACACCAACACCTCCTCTCCCTTAAAAGACACAGATAATAATCATACACAAAATGTAGAAAAAACATTATTAATTAAATTTAAATCAAAGAGCATGGATTGTACAACAACATTGTACTATCCACTTTAACGAATTCTCTCAAATAAAATTACTTTCTTGTATTCTTTAATTTTGTGTTTAATTCAGACTCAATTGTTAGAAGTTCGTCAATCAATGTATCGGTCACTACTCGGCTTAGCGTCAGTGGCATCAATGCAAGTTCCCAGAAAATACTCCGCTGAACTAAACTTTTGCAAAAAAAAATTAAAAGAAAGATGCTTGTGCATAAAATAAGTTCATTTCGCATTGGAAAACTCACTGAAAAGTGAAAGTTAATATCGACATTAAAATCGAGATCGAAAGAGACTAATATATAATTGATAAAGACACGGCATGTACTTGATTAAAGCAAAATACCATACGACAATCGGTATTCTCAGAATGGTACGGCCGTAAGCGAAAGAGAGGGTATAAATACGAATGTCATTCGTCTGAATATTTACAAGTACAAATATAAACGATACTTCATTAAAAAACTGATAGAGATGTTAGTCCGGCTGATTAAGAAACGACAAAAGGAACAAATATGATGGCGCCTGTTTGTTCCCCTTCATTTTCTTCTGTCTGTCTTTCATTCCTATTGACGAAGCATATTTTCAGAGATATGGATACAACAACACGATAAAATTGGAAAGCAGCAACTAAACGAGAAAAAAATTCAGCTAATTTGTGGCAAAATGATAGTTCTGAGATCGATTTATTGGAAGGTTTCATATTAGTAACTGGAAATAATGAGTATCGAGGCAGAGAATATTATAAAAAAGCTTGGAAAATATATTCTATCGCTGTTAAGTATTTTGCATTGTAAGCTATTTTCAAGTGGTTTGTTTCTGCTAAAACTCACATGAAGCGCTAGTAAACACTTGTGTGTCGTATTGAAATTGGCAGTAAGTTGCTCACCTAAAAATTAAACCTAATTTTTTTCTCTGTTGCATTAGTCAAGAATCACAAATGCCAACAAAGATCATTGAATTAGCTACGTTTCTTCCATGAACTTGCAGCATTTGAGAATGAATAGATGTGGATTCTCTATTCACTTACATCCCACCCTTACGGTTAAATACACTGAACTTTTTTCTTTTGATAAAATTGGCACAATATATTTGCATGGCATAAATCATTCGCAAACACTACATGAAAGCGCCGTTTGCTGTGCATATATTTCTTCTTACTTTTCCGCAGAGAAAGTTATATGTTTGCACAAGAGACAGTTAAGTAGTTGCTTTGATTTGTATAAAAAAGTTCGATATGAAAATGGATGACGACGTAATTTGTGTACTGCTGCTTTGAAAATGGTTTTCGTTCTAAAAAATGCAAAGTCAATATTTGGCTTACATTTAGGTTAGTTTTATGTGCCACTTTCAATCGTTCGATAGAAGAAATCGCTCATAGTTTTGTTGTCCAATAACCAACAAGACCATCGCCGCACACTTCAAAACATGTTTCGTAAGTTTTCATTATACTAGTGCTCAACAACATCTGCTCGTTCTTCTCGATACCTTGCAAACCATCTCGCATCAATCACGCATGGAAGTAAACAGCCTTGAAGGAAGAAAGATTCAATAGATAAAATGTTCAGAAGATACAGCAACAGTGAACGATAGAAAACGCTTTCATACGACTAATATTTCATGACGGAAAATGGAGAGCATAGGCGGCGATCCGTGGTCATATACAGAGGACAGCACCAAACATCTACTTTTCCAATCTTATGTTTTTTATTTTTAGGTCGATCATCTATACAACAACGACTAGCAATCAGCTAGGATAAGCTGTTTTGTTGGTAATAAGGTAGAAAGTTCACACATGATAGGTACAGACATGGAACAGAGCAGATGTATAAAGAGAGAAATATTGACGATGTATAGATAAAGATGAGTAATGGCCTGATGTAGTCAGCATTTTCGACCTGAATGAATGAGTAGTAGGCTATTGATCGCTTTGAAGCTATGGCGTCCTTTTATTATCACTTCGAATGTTTTTTTTTGTTTGCCTTCGAATCATAATCTGTTCTGGGCCATGGGATATAAAAACAGAATGCCATTGTACTATGGTCTACTATCGTTCGAGAGAAATACCGATTATGACGTCAAAAAAACTGTGCGTGTGAAATCAATGAAATTTTCAATGTTGGAAAGGAAGATATTTATACTACGCAATGAAAAAACTTTACCAGTGAGATTAGTTGGGACTATGCATGTGACAGCTCATGAGCTGGCATCAATATATTAGCTGTACCACTTAATGTAAAACAAAGTACCCAGTTTTGTGTGGCACTTAAACGAGAATCTCCCTGAAAAAAAAAAGAAATAGTTAAGACCTTGGCGATGATGAAAGACGGAACTAACGTGATTTCAATTCAAATACTTAACATAGATGCGTCGCAGCTCAATAAGAAACGAGTACAAATCTTATTTACTAGTCTTAACATTAGATATTTGTTTTCTTGTTTTATAATTATAACCATTGCGTATTTTCTGTTCTAGATAAAATATTGGAATGGCTGATGGTTTCGTTTCGTTCTGAGCTTTGTGATATTTCGAATTGTTTCACAAGTCTTTAAAGGACAAATTGAACATAAGTTAGCTAACAGTATAGAAAAGTACTCGACATCGTGTACGTTTTTAGAGGAGAAAATCAACAATGAGCATTTCCGTGATTGAGCAACATAGTACCACGATCCAAACCTATGAGTCAGATATTAGCCTTGAACAAATGAAAACATCATTTGATACTTTTATTTCTGAATTTCAACAAACCGATAATCCTGATGAGAAATATACGTTAATAGAACAAATTATTTCCTCGTTGGCTATTATACCATATGGACATAAAAATCTTACAAAGTCTGAAATGATCGCACACAAGGTTTTTGTCATTTTACGTGACTATGTAATTATCAATCAACTTCGTCAAAAACACGCAGAAGACACTAGTTCACAGAAGGTCTTGCTGAATGTTTCATTATTGTTCATGAATCTATGCAATAATATCAACGAAACTAATATTACTGTATTCAAAAGCCTATTTATTCATAAACCATTGATCGACGAACTTGCAAATTGTCTTCATGAGATAAGTACACATGGCAAATACTTGAATGATCCTTCACGTCTCCGTTCGGTTAGCTCCTTATTAATAGCATTGCAGAAAATTCGAAAACACAATTTCACAGCACTTGAATATTCGCTCATTGCACCAATACTTTTTTCTGTTACTCAATGTTTATGCTCATCATATGCCCTTGACATGATCAAAAGTTTGGAACGAAATTTCATTCAAGAACTTGATGAAGTCCAAATGCTGTTTCTGTATGCTATGCCATTGTATGTAAAATGGTATTGGGATTATTGTGATCCTGAATATTTGTTAAAATTTTAAGAATATTATTGAATGACTTTACAGCATGGTTTACAAGCTGTCAACCAGAATCCTATCTTCAACGTTCCTCTCAAATCGATGCTATGATTCGTCATCTAAATTATTTTCTCGTTCGCCCCACAGAATTTGACAGTATGAATATTTTTAGTGAAGAATTTTATGATGACTACTGTAAATTAGTTTTACATTGGTCATCAATTTTGTCGTCAATCTTGGCATGTTCTTCCTGTACAATGAATGTCAAATTAGCAGCACGAACCAGCGTTCAAATTTTGTATAATTTAACATTACATTTAAATGTACTCAATTTTATGAAGACGATACCGAGTTTTATTTTAATGCTGCTGAAAGTAACTGATCTTGATCATGATGAAGTGCAATTGAATGCATATCGTTGTTTGGGTAAAATTATGATCGAAGCAGATATTAAAACTATGACAAAGCCGAGCAAAATTGCGGCCGTATATATTGCATTTCTTAAAGATACTATCGACGATTCGAAAAAAACAGAACGATTTTATAGTCTATTGGAAAGTTTGAAAAGTAAGTTTTTATCTATTGTATTTTTTTATGATTAAATCTAGTATAGATTAACATTTTCGGATTCTTTCTAGGTTTTGTTCAACACGATCAAGTTAAAATTGAACTGATAAAACAAAAAGTACTTCCCCTGCTAGTAACATGTGTCTTAGAATATTCATCCGATCCCATCAAAGTACAACTGATAACCCTTGAGATTCTTCTTGCTCTCTCGTTTCATGACCAGGCTTGTTCTTTTCTAAGACAAAATGAAAATTTCATGAATCACATTCGAATCTTTTCAAGCAAGACGGATTCGAATCAATTACGTTTACAAAGAGCTGCCGAAGGGCTTCTTTGGAAATTAGAACAAGAAGACAAAGCTGTTGCTAAACCAACTACTTTGACTTCGTACAAATACGATATCATGATAAGTTATTCTCATAAAGATAAACAATTATGTTTTCAAATTCATCAACAATTAACCAACGATGGATTTCGTGTCTGGCTTGACAAGGATTGTTTGCGTGGATCTACAATGGTCGGCATAGCGAATGCCATAGAAAATTCTCTATATCTACTGATATGCATGTCAAACACATACAAACAAAGTGTTTATTGTCAATCGGAAGCTCATTATGCATTCGAACGAGGTTGCCGTCTTATTCCAATCATCGTCGAATCAAATTATAAACCTGACGGATGGCTAGGTATCATTGTTAGTGGCAAGGTCTATGTCGATTTTATCGCAGATGAATTTAACGCGGCTTATGAAAAATTGAAGAATGAGATTTGTGAACAACGATATCAAATTTCGAGTCAATCGTCGACAAAATCAGAAGAAAAAAACCAGATCAATACGACTTCCATAATTTCAGAACATGCTCCATTGGTTTTCGAATCGATTATGTGAGTCTCATATATTCATTTTGTAGCTCATAGTTAGTAAGCTGACCAAACGGATATTTATTTCGATAGTTCCTAATTCAAGCATGGAGTCTATTATTTTCAACACATTATAGCAATGATAGTCGTTATACTGTTGACGTTTCAATTCAGAATAGAATGCTCCTTCGATCAGTCGTTGCAAAGAATCATAGAGTCTAATCGGATATCGTTTTTCAGACTTGTAACATTTTTTTATTTCTTCAGCGTAAAGTTAGGACGTTTCTGACATTGTCTTCAAAACTGCCTTCCAATTTCGACCTTCAATTTCTCAAAAATGAAGATGTCAATGAGATTCACTAATTAAAACATTATCATTTGTTTTGATATCTGCTAGTCTGAAATAGTACATGTGATATTTATCCCTGAGTTATGTTCTCATATCCTTATCTTAGGCTAGGTGGTATCCAGATACATCGAGATGTTCCAATTACGAGTACTATCGTTTGAAAGTTTCAGATCGATATTCAAAAGTTAGTTTTCAGCCTTGTAATAGAGATTTTTCTCTGAAAAATTCAGAAGAAATACAGTTATTCAAAAATAGAAACTTAAAGATCGAAATAATTTCTTACTATTCGATCACGCATTAAAGTTAACTGGATAAGCTGAATCTCAATCAAACTATGTTTAGAGACCTCGAACGATCTTCTCGTAAAAGCAATCAAAGTTATAAATAATTCATCTGAATATGAGAAACTCGACTTTTTTTGTGGCAAATTATTCGATTCGATAAAAATGAGACCTTGAATTTGAACTCATCGAACAGTAGAAATCATTTCTTCACAAATCAATGAAGCCAATCGAAAACTTCTTCCCATTTTCATGATTCTAGTGAACAACATGCCTTAAATAATTTTTTCAATATTGCCTCTTAAGTATGTAATCTATACAGGCATAAACCACTTTGTGAAAGCTGCAAGAACATTTGAAAGATCAAATAATATGATCGTGGTTAAGTTTTCACTAATAGCGAACATTTCCTCTCTTTTTAGTTTCGATCTCGTCTTTTTTCAGGTTAGCATGAAATGCAATATCTGACCTAGTCTGCTATTAGTTAGTACTTGGATCAATTATATACAAATGATTTTTCTGTTCAAGAAATTCATTCGATATTTTCCTGTGGGCTAACTAGTACATTTGTTCAGCAGTGTGATCTGCTTAACTAGTTGAGCGATGTTATATATTTTTATCACGCATATGCTACAGAACTTTTACGATAGAAAAACATGAAATCAACATACAATCACCATTATTGATCTTCTTCATGACAACATAAGTACTGCACACTTAGAATTCTAGTATCATCCTATGCAAATCAGTATCTGCATGTTGTATCCCATTAGTGAATTAGAGTAAAATGAAAATTCAACTGTTTTCCTTTTGAAACTAAAATTTTCATGAAATGACTAATGTTCTGGTCATGGTTACCTTGCTAAAGTCAATCTTATTAGCGACTATCTATAATGTATTACCTTATTGAAACATCATAGTTTATGCATCCTTATAATGACTTGCCGAATTGTATCACTCAATGGACTGAAGATCATGTTAAGTCATTTTTTCTTCGTATTGGACTTGGTGATACAATTCTTCCTCTTTGCAAAAACATTGATGGCCATCGTCTTCTGCAACTCTATGAAATATGCTTGATAAATCGTGAATCGATGTATCAATCATTGAAATTTGAACTGAACGAAAAATGCCATACATTACTGCCGATCGCTGATTATCTCACTTTTCTTGACGCGATCAAAGTATATGTTCCATCAACTTCGACAAATGTAAAAACTGTTCAATCTTCTTTTTTTTCATTTCCAATGTGCAACTTTATGTAGAATTATCCGACTGCTTGGTACCTGAAAACATATGATTAACGCTAGCAAATGTGTTTTGATTTCCATCTTAATTATGCGACGGCGGATAAGTAGGTGTGTTTGTAAAGTTGAATGAATGGAACTGATCTTCTTCCCTTTAACCACACACCTAAATCCACACCATGTAACTAAAATCTTATTTTACGCAAAAACTCAATAATTTTCGTATCATCAAACCCATGGCACTATGAAAGTTTTGAACAGAAATTAATTCTCTCAGTGTAGGCGAAATTTCATGTGATGCATGAAAGCGTCGAAAAACATCATAGTATCGTTGGCAACATTAACTGATTCAACGTCATTTTCACCTTAGTATTGATATTGTATTGTGCAGTTGGACAAAACCCAATTCCTAGCAGTTAAAGGGAATGTGTCATTTTCTGTTTTCTTATAGTTTGTCTTCTGTACACATACAACAATCCTTCAAGTACATTCTGTTAGATTCTAGGGTGTGAGCATGAGTATTCTTTTCATCTACGCTCACACTTGCCCAGTGTGTGAATTTCGACTTATGCTCGAGCATGAGAAGCTACGCTGGAGAAAGTACATGTATATAGAATAACTTACAGAGTGAATATTAAAATTGTAAACTAAATGACCTACATGTTATTCATAGTATTATTGGTGTTCTTATATTAAATGCAATAAATTTAGTATTGTTATTTTTATCTGTTGAAGTATACTGTTGGAAAAGTTTGCATTTACAATAATGCATTAATTAGTAATGCTCTTTTTTGCTTGATTTATATAGAAGCTGTTATGCAGTTTGTGATTTATGTTTTAAATATATTCTATAATACGTTTGAAAAACGTTCTTGTTTTTATTTCATCAAGTCTTTCGTTGTTTATTTGTTCTAATAAAACTATCAAGTTGTTCAATCAAAAATCATAAATAAAAATTTTTAACCCTATTATTGTATTGATCACAAGCGACATTAGTTTTAACATGAAATCTAAGTACATTTTAGAGGAAAATGTGATTAAAAGATGGCAAACCATTGACATAATTGGACAAAAAAAGACACCTGTAGAATTTTTTACAGGTATTTATTTTCTTTCATTTCATTTATCTGAAACTCGTATCACCTCATGTAAATCATTGGTTAATCGAGTCTATTTTCAAGTTCTGATTAAACAACCAGTCTTCTAAATGATATTGAAATAATAAGATGAATGTTTTATGCTGGTTAAAATATATTGCAACATTTATATGCATTTTATTATTAGCAATATACACATACATCAAATCACGTCTTTTTGGTAATAAAAAACGTACACCACCATTACATAATCGAGATTGTAAGATTGCCATAGTTGGAGGTGGGATTGGTGGCGTTGGTGCTGCATACGCTTTGCTTCGTAGTGGCTATACAAATGTGACAATATATGAATCACGTGATAAACTTGGTGGAAATGCTAAAACACATGTTTGGCAAACTGATAATAAGAGTATTACAACTGGACTTTCTGTATTAGCCTGGCCAGAAATATTTCGTAATTATATTCATTTATTAAATGAATTAAATATTAAAACAACTACAGTTAAATTACCATTTTTTATTGACAATAAAGAAGAAAATACTATTTTTGCTCATGGAAAACAACATGGAAATACTCAACAATATAATAATGATTTAAAACGTTGGACTCGTATGGTTAATACTGTTAAATATGTGTCTAATTTTTTCAATGGTAGAGAAATATCTTTATATCATTTTTCCCTTTTAAATCCTTTTAATTATATTTCAATAAAAATGTTAAGTTTATTATTTGGTATATCAAATCGTTTTTGGAATAATATTGTTGTACCGATGTATGCATCAACATTTTTATCAACAAAATTATCATTTATTCCATCATCGATTCTTTCAATTGTTGATAGTTTAATATCCATAGAACCAAATCGTATACCAATTATGCAAACATGGTTACAAACATCAGTAGATGTATTTGATAAAATGACAAAAGATACTATTATTAAAACAAATTCACAAGTAAAAAGTGTTCATATTATACAAAATAAACATAATCAAATTATGATTTCTATTAATAATGATAATATAATATATGATCGAATTATTTTTGCATGTGATAGTCAAGCAATAATTAATGCATTAAATAATGGTAATACAAAAATTTCGTTATTATTGAAAATAATGTTATCTAATGTAACATACAGTGATGATGAAGATTCTAATCTATTAGATGGAATTATTCATCGTGATATAAATATTCTACCAAAGAAACATGCCGATAATTTACGTAGAAACTATGCTAATTATATTGATGTAAAATATGATAAAAAGAATAAAACATTTTATCATTACAATACATTTATCTTAAGTTCTTGGTTACCTAATGTAAAGGTTATATTAGAAGAAAATCAATTAGAACATGACACAATGGAACCAATGCTAGTTACTTATGCACCCTCTTCTGGTCAACTAACTCCGTCAATTGATGAAAAGAAAATTTATGGAAAAGTAGATAATCGACGGGCACATCCAAGTCTATCAATACGTAATCAAACTATTTCATTATTAACACGATTGATACAAGGAGAAAATGGAATGTATTTTTGTGCAAGTTCTGTAACACCAGCAAATGGACATGATCTTTCATTGATATCAGGATTTGCAGTTGCTCAATTGATCGGTGCTGAATATCCATTTGCTGATGATCTAGATGCATTACGAGATTTTAATCTATTCAAAAGAATGTGTATCAATTAATTTTTGATTAGATTTAAAATAAAACTGAATAATTAGGAAAGTCATTCAAAGCGAAACAAATAGTATTTATTGAAAATAAAACTTGAAATTAGATTTTTTAATTTGAAACGATTGACTTATTTATTGTCAATAAGCATTTCAGTTGATACTTAGAACGGCGATCGCAATAGCTAAACATTTTCGAGGAGCTATTTTTGAAATAGAAAATGAAGAGGACATACTGATAAAAAAAATAGATAAAGATATTCTCAAAAAAAAAACATTCTTGCTAGTTGAAATGCTTTAAATGCTCTAGTATCTACTTTTATGTCATGGTAACGCGGCTCATGATATCCTAAAAGAATTTTGGTTTCTATTGATATATGATTGAACTATAGAATTTGTAATATGTATATTTTCTAGAGGTCCCATGTTCGCGGAAAATTTGTATTTTTGAATTCTGATATTTTTTGAAAGCTTCATATCTTGAAGAAACTTTGTTTAAAAAGTGTTATGATTTTTTTGAAAGCTAATCTAGTTGAGTTCTCTATATATGCAAAGTTTCAGATCAAAACTCGATAGCTTAGTCAAATTTCAAGAGGAACCAAAACCCTTTTAGGATTTTTATGAGAACACTATGTAGTATCTATAGGAAAATAATCATTGAAATCGAGAGGGAATATTTGAGCAAGTTCCCTTGTCAATCGATATGCTTTCATTTCTAATTGTCAATTATATTCTCGTTCACTGACGAACACGATTGCTAAATAACTTATTCTACAAACAAAATATATGAAAACTCAGTTCAGTATATATAAAACATTGTAATAACAATTATAGAACTCACCGCAAAAGCGATAAAATATTGTAAACAAAAAAAAATCATTACTATTTTTAGATAAAAAAAATGGAGAATTTCAAGCTGAGATGTCAGGCATAGAAGCCGCTTCAACTATAGAACACAACATTGTTTTTTCTTTTTAAGAACCGTATTCCTTATCGAAGATGTGTGAGACAATAACGTTGAAATGTGGCTTATTCAATGAACTCTATTTGATGAAGATACAGTATATGGAATTAAATCTACTTGGAATTGTTTAAAAAATAAGGATAATAAACCAATCATAGCTGATAAAATGGGTACAACAACATTTCGTTATTTCCTATAAGCCATAAAAAAAAACTGTGTACAATTCAAACACTAGGTCAGCCTACATCGAAAGAATTATCTTCAAATGATGCTCTTTACAAAGCTAGATGTCATAATCAATTGAAAAACGTTGTGCGACTTTGTAATTGATATGATATTATTCTGGTTTCATGAAACAAATTCAAGAAAAATGAATATTGCAAGAACATCAAACTATGGCAAACACATGAAACCATATTATATAGTGTTGATAGACTGTAAAGAAAAAACGAAGAATAATCAATTTTTGATCTCCACATGTTGAAAGTGATGTTGATGGATGAGGGTAACGGTGTTGTATGTGAGGGAGGAATATCAGCATTCTCTGCAGCTATCCTCAGCTCCATACTTTCCCTCATCTTATTTACACTCATCCTCATCCACAACAACAAGTCGAGTCAAGTCTAATCAAAACTCAATTTCAAGTCATTTTTTTCAAATGTTCTATTATTCGTGAAAAGATCAAAATACTACAGCTTTTACTCTTCACACAAGAAAAATGAGTTTATAATAAGCTTCACAATAATGCAAAAAATGTAGCTAAAGATAACCAAATCTGTTAACAAATATCTTGATTAAAATTCACAAGAAACATGAGAAAAAGTGCACATTATTGAGAAACAAGACGGTCAATACAAGTTGAAAAAGATCATTTACTTATTACAAAGTCGTTCACAGTCTTCTTTCATTTTGAATTCAGTTTATAGAAATGTTCACTATTTATATTTTTCGTTTACACTTCAAATTAGGAATAAAAAGTAAAGTACATAAGAATCCTCTACATATATTCTTTTTGGCTTGACGTGACCATCTCTACTTACTGAATCTTTTCTGAAACGCTTTGAACTGATCGAAAAAAGACTGTTTAGTCGAACACTTCTATTACAAGTATTTTATCTCAGTTTCTGTCATCTATACTTACTGAATATTAAATAGAAAAATGCTAATAAAGGATATACAATCAATATGAAGTGACGAGATACATGATTGGATTCTTTGTAGCTATATTTTGTTCCACATCGCTCCAACAAATCCCTTACAGTTGTTGTATAATACATTTTACGAGTTTGCATCGTCATTCGGCTACGTTATTGTCCAGTAATTGATGAAATGCTGAAGAGAAGTTTACCCACTTGAAAAGGATTTCATCTGGATAGGACTATGCTGCTTTTCGTACCGCTCACATGCTGAAATTTTTCCGGAGCGATAACATAGAGATTAAGGCTCAAGTGTGACTAATTTAAACTTACCATTAGCTGTATATTCGAATGTGCGGTATTTTCACTCTCTACAGCAGGGGCAATCGTATCGCACTTCAATAGCTTCATGAGTTAAGTCTTCATTGTGCCCAATGAGCACTTCACTTAAGTCCCGTGTAACTACGCCTAATATCGCTCGACCAGCGTTAGTCCAGGCTTTTATTTCACCATCATACATGAGAGTTCGTATTCAACGAGCAGAATGCACTTCCATGCAATTCACATCATAAGCGCGTTTAGTTCCTTTGTGCCATTTACCATATTTAATGCCATTAGACGAGTGATGCTCACACATATACTCACAATGATCTGAGATGAAAGTAAAAAAGGTGTAGTTGCTGCTAAAACACTTGAAGAAAGGAATGTTCCAGATGAATCTCAATTTCGGATCGATATCAACAACAATTTCGTATCTAATTGAAAAATCATAAGTTTGTTTCCTTTTCTCCGAACTTTATATACAGACATCGATGAACTGTTTCTTTGTAGATGATTTAAAAAATAATAAAGAACTTTTTGAAGCTCATCAACATTGTTTGATAGAAAAACAACTTGTAAGTATAAAAGTCATTTCTTTTAAACAGCTGACAAAAATCTTGTGAAAAGCGAAATTTTTTGGCGTAATATGGCAAATAGTATTTTCTCATTTTGCTTAGATTTTAGTCTATCTAAATGAAACTGGGATATTTGAAAACAGAAAAGAAGCTCACCAATTAGATACTGATATGAAAAAAAAATCAAAGAAAATAGTGCACTTGATAATACAATGGTATATTAATCAAATAACAATACAGAAAAGAAAATGACGATTAAGTTCATATCAAAATTGGTGTCTACAGTGGCTAATTTATTGTTTCTCCATTTCTGAACATTTTTCATTGCATAAGCATGAAAATAAGAAAAATCAATGATGATGAAAAAGAATGATTGGTAAGAGACTTTAAACAAAAAACATTAGTTCTTCCGTACATACTCAATCAAGTTTATAAAAATAAAAAAAAGAAAGAAGATGAATACAGATACACTATGCAATTATTATTTCATAGTTGAACAAAAATACAGCAACAACGGTATTTATGCTATTAGTAGAAACATTTTTTGTCGAAAGTATTCTTGTGGCCACCGAAGGCGTCTCAAACGTATAACTGTGAGCAAAACGAATTGATCTTTTCATTCTTAACAATCCTACAGAAGAATCAAAGGGTCCATAAATAGTCTAGTGTTCAGTGAAAATTTCGACGAAAAACTTGTCATTTATACACTGATTCAATGATATCGCGTCTAATTGTTATGCTTAATAAGAGAAAATATATTCAGAAACATGCTATACTTCATTGAATATTTTGTAGGATTTTATTAGTTCTTCTCTTTTTGTATGAGACGTCAAAATTTCATTAAATGTGCTCTTAATAATTTCACTTAGAGATAAGGAATAATAGAAAGATCCAAAAGAAGTTGAATTTTTTAGAGAGAAAAACCTCAAGAATTATAGAAAAATAGCTAGAGGAATAGAGAAAAATAGTAGAGCTAAGAATTTACACCGCCATTATACCCCACTAGGATTTCCCCCACAAGTAAATAACAAGATATTGAGTCTAGGAGATGAAGAAAGAAGAATATTAAATTATGGACCCAAGTTCGTACCGAAAAATCCAAAACAGGCCTTAGAAAGATTAGAAGATGAGATTAGAACAATAAAAGAAAAAGTAGCTGAAGCTTGGAGAAGAGAAGCCCGAACAATAGGAAGAAACCCAATATTAGTTGAGAAATTTGCTAATAAACTAGAAGAATTAAGAGAAAAAATAAACCAAGGAAAAAGACAAGACTCAGTAATAGAAAAGGCCTTAGAACATTTTCAAAAGGAACAAAAAAAGGGTAAGGTAATTTTCAGACAAACAGATAAATCCAAAGTATTCCACGTAGATAGGCCTGAGACATGTATAGAGAAATCTATAGCTTATATGAAGAAGACAGATGCTTACCAAGAGATAGAAGAATCCCCATTAAATAGTATGATAGAAAAGACAGAAGAATTATCAAGAAATTTAGTCAATAGAAAATTGTTACCAGGGAAATATTTTGAGAAATTAAAACCAAACCCAATAGATGCCGAGTTACCCCACCTTTATTATAATCCAAAAGATCATAAGGTAGGAGAGCCACTTAGACCAATTGTTTCGGGAATGAAATCACCAACACAAAAAATCTCGGCTTTTCTTGATCAAATTATTCGACCCATTTTTGATAGATTAACCCCATATAGTTTGAGAAATAGTATAGAACTTTTAAAAAAATTAAAAAAACAAGAAACAACAGGCCAGACTCTTTTATATACTTTTGACATTACGGATTTGTATACCATGATACCCTAATAAGAATCAATCTTAGCCATTTGTGAGATGTTAGGTGAGAATAAGATAAGTAAGGTTAATGGAGAGATACCCATCAATACAGTTAGGACCCTATTTAGACATGTCTTAGAAAATGCATATTTTGCCCTTCAGTTACCCAGACAGAAAGTTAAGTAGTATAAACAGATAAGAGGAGGACCCATGGAATCAGAGTGCACTCAA